TATTAAATAATTTGTAGAAGCCAGTCACTCTGCTATGTCTTCACATGCATTAACTAATTTAATTTCCATAGGTACTGTATTAGGTATCTACAACTATTTCCTTTACTGTTCAAAAAACAAAACTTAGGGCAAAATAGATTGAAGTGATTTTCCCAAGAATACTCAGTAGCAAGTAGTAAAGCTGGGATTTTGATTTCATATCCTGAGCGCTGAAATACTAGATTTATTGAGTCACGAATGAAATCTTTCCACCCTGTTAAATTGCTATAAAATTGTGTTGGAAATGATTACGTGGTACTCTATAAAAGAGATGTATTTGCTATTGATTAATTGGTATAAAAGAAGGATAAAGATCATAACAGATCACTCCCAAACATGGTTGCAAGAGAACAAACCCCAACTCTTTTTTGGAAAGGTGGAGGTTAACAGTGATTAAAATACCACTCCCACCACCACACAGAAATTACTTTCATGTTGACCATACCTACCTATCAGAAAAGACACTTAGTCTTTGGACTGAACCATAACTGGTACGGGTTGAATGAACTAGGCTTTAGGCTTTCCATGGGTTTCAAACCATATAAAGGTCATGTCTATATCAATACCAGGTATCAGCACCTAGGGATAAGAAATCTTACTATCCCACTCTCTGTTGGGCCCTACCCAAAGTTACTGTCATTGAGAGGGGACTATAATTGTACATGTCATAGTCATTCTACTACAGACCCTATCCTGAGATAGGGACTATGAAATAGTAGTCCACTTTTATGTCTCCATCACCATCGTCACCACCACCTAACAATTAATTAGTACCGATTTAGAGTATGGTGGGGATTTAGTAAAGATGTGGAACTGAATATGGATTTATAGAATTTGTTCCTCAGTATGGTTGTCAATCCTCTTTACACTTTAATTTTAAACAGTCCTAAAAGGAAAGAAAAAGTGTTTCAATTTGGGGGAGAGGGTTACATTTAGATCAAGGATATTTTTTTATATGCTCTGTCTTCTTTTCCTTTACTCAGGTTTTGGAGAAACTAGGTATTTGCTGAATGTTGCTCCTTTTCTTTGAGTCACAGTGTGAAAACTGGGGGGGGGGGAGTAAGAAAGGATTTTAGAGCCAACGCTAATTGCATATATCATAAAGACTTGCAAAGAGTTTGTTTTTGAATATCATTGCCAAGCTATATTTAGAATGTCACATACCCATGTCAAGTAGCTGAAGGGGTACAGTTGCATGTCAGATTTCAAAGGAAGGAAGATATTGTGGGGTTTTTTTGTATGTGTGAGCATAGGTGTGCTTTATTCTCCCTGCCACTTTTTTTTTTTTTTTTTTGCCTTTATGGCCCTGAAATCAGAAACGTTGTGGATATGAGTATACTGATGTGTTTGGGAAATAACTATAAATTAATCAGGTCACTCAGTAAAGTGTTTTATTGGACTACAAATCTATTCAAGTTCCACATATGTTTATTGGTCATTCATTCCCTCACCCTTCTAATTTTCCTTTTCTTCTTTTATTCATAAGATCAAGCAGTCTGATATTCTTTTTTTCCCAAAACATTATGATCACTAGGGTAGAGCCTGAAGAAGAGGGAAAGTTACAGCAAGAAGAGAAATTCCTAATGCTGTCATGAGAAACTTCGGCATCACACATGGGTAAGTATAGAGACTTTCCACCAGATGACGCCTGTTCTGCATCATCTAATCTCAGATTCACAGTCTTTGGTTTTGAGGTAATGCATGCAGTCAAAATATTTAGAATTTGTCTACAAATACAAACTGCAACACAATTTAACAACTACAGCACAATAAAAGAGATAGTGTTAACTTAAAAACTCACTGTCATCTTTTCTGCTAACATTTACTTTCTAGGTAGTATCTAACAAAATAACCTCGGCTTTCAAGTTTGCAATCTTTCTATTTTTTAGAAAGTATAAATTCTTCAGTTTGTTTAGTTTGTTTGAAATACCTCCAGCTAGTATCAGGGAAATTGTGACTTAACTGGGGTGGGAAGTGGAGGGGAACTGATTGCCTGTATTGATAATTTTGAAATTTTCATTTCTCTCTCTTCTTTGAAGTTTTATACAAATAAAAAGTATGGAAGAAACACTTGCTACTTTTTAGTTGGAATTAGAAATGGAACTAGGTAAAGGCACCTAGTTCTATGTCCACAGTCTGCCTTCCACTGTAGAAATAGCACAAGGAATAAATTTGTGCTCAAAAAGCTCCACAGGGGAATGTGACTCTGACATAGTGACTGATGTAGCATCCAGCCTGCTCATCTTAATAAGAAGAAGTCGTATGTGAGCCTCACTGTTAGGGCATCAGTAATAATTTTATCCTGTAGCTGGTTAACTTAGATATAATTCCTTATACATCCCAAAAATATGGTCAGTATTAATTTTTGTAGGCTAAGATTTGTTACAGGTTAAAAAAAAAATAGTTCCATCATCACCACCAGCTTTTTCACATTGACTTCCTAAATGAACTCTGACACTGAGCAATTTTACTGTGGAAATCTTATCCTATTTCTCCCAAATGCCCATCTTTGGATTCTCCTTTACATAAAATTAAAGGAGTTGTCAGATGTCTTTTAGAAAAAAACAAAAAGAATTGACATGGTATACAAAACTGTCATGGGTCAAGATCTTCTGTACATACTAATTTACCTAAATCCCCTCATTTCCTGCTTATCTTTTATAACTTTGTTTTTCCTTTATTTTTTTAAAGATTTAATTTATTGATGAGAGAGAGAGGCAGAGACATAGGCAGACGGAGGAGAAACAGGCTCCGTGCAGGAAGCCTGATGTGGGACTCAGTCCCCGGTCTCCAGGATCACACCCTGGGCTGAAGGCAGACACTCAACCGCTGAGCCACCCAGGCATCCCTGTTTTTCCTTTAAAATTATTCTTCCCCATTACACAATATTTTAAGGTGCTCACAGCGCACTGGGCTCTTAACTTACCATGTCCTACCTTAACATCATCACATTTTCTCCTTTCTCTTTTCTGAGCCATTTTACTTGTCCATATTACCAACAAATGTTTAAGGAGTGTCTGGATTTCAAAAGTTACAAACTACAAATTTGCAAGTTTGAGAAATTCAAATGACTCTGGCAAACTCTACCCTCAACTGTACCTACCAAAATGAAACAAAACAAAACAAAAAAAGCTCTCCCTTAAACCTCTCAAAACTTTTTCATAGAACACAGACACCCTCCTACCTCTTTTTACCTATGCAAATTTTCAAGACCTAAATTCCTCATCTCCTCTTTATCTGCTTTTTATTTTTTAAAAACCCCAATTATTTGCTGTAGCTCATTCCATCTTTCTAACCTGATGAATTTTGCACAGAATAAAGTATGCCTGCCTACATGGGACAAATAAGAAAACCTTACTGGTTTTTGTAATCAATATAAATTTTGTTTCGGAAATGCAATTTTGAAAATACTAGTAATAGCAATTGTAAATCTCTTCCGTATTAACAGTAGCTTATTGCAAGTCTTCCCTGGGGCAATAATGAAGATGAGAATTCAAGAAAATCATAAAACTACCATACATAGTGCTTCAGATGTGGATGTGGGGTAAGACTGGCTAGTAATCAGCAGAAGGGGAGGGGAAAGGTCCTGGGAAAAGGATAGGATCACAGCAGTGGTGGAAGAGTAGAGAATGCATATGCACTGCTTCTGGCTTTTCCACCCTGTTCCATGCTCCCTGAGGCCGTCTTTTGTGAGGTTCCAGGCACATTCTTCTTTAAAAGTCCCAGGAATGCTTCTGCCTTGGGACCCTGATGTTCTATGTGCCCCCAAATCCACCGCTCCCCCAAGAGGCCTACTCCCTGAACTCTCTCAAGCCTTTGCTCAAATGTCACCTTTTCAGGGAGGCATACTTTGAACACTCTATTTTTTTTTTTGAAACAATACGTATGTATACATTATACTATATGAAAGAAGAATTAGCAGAAAACTGAATATAAGACTTAACATTTCTGGAACCGTAATAAACCATGTTAAACTGTTTACACAAATATGTGACTATCGAGAATTTGCTAGGTGTATAATTAAATCCTTCCTACTAGGAATGTTATTTTTGCTTCAGAGTATATAAAATAGAATTGATCTTGAAGATCCCATTTCAGTGCTAAATTCTTTTCTAGATAACACATCTTTTGACTTGAAAAAGCGTCAATAACTTGAAAATTAGGTTCAGAGAGTAAGCTAAATGGCAGCAGGGTTTGTGCCTGATTTTGCCTACGACTCAATGTGTAAGTGTGTGGTAGGTGCTCAGAAAATATTTACCTAATAATTTTGACAACCAAAAAAAAAAAAGAAAAAGCATTAACAGTATAATACCTTATTCTCTTACATATGGTAGCCATTTAAAATGAAAAAGCTAATCTAAAAAAATACATAAAAATAAAAAATAAAATGAAAAAGCTAGAAGCCTCGAGTTGCTTGATGATAGGATTAAATATAAAATGGGTGTATCATTACTTGAACACCTTATTTGTTTTAATTATTTATTTATTCATGAGAGACAGAGAGAGAGAGAGAGAGAGGCCAGAGACACAGGCAGAAAGGAGAAGCAGGCTCCATGCATGGAGCCCGACGTGGGATTCGATCCCGGGACTCCAGAATCGGGCCCTGGGCTGAAGGCGGTGCTAAACCGCTGAGCCACGCAGGGATCCCCTTGAACCCCTTATTTAAAAGTTGACACCCTCCCAGGCCCTTTAGCTGCTTCGGGTTACCGCATGTAAGTTGTTAACGTAGCCCCCCGCCCCCGCCCCCGCCCAACCTCCACCTTCCATCCCTTTTGGACGCCCCTGCCTGGCGCTTCTCCTTTAAATTGTGTCGGGAAGGGGCGGGGCTAGGGCCTCGCGTCACCGTAAGGGGGCGTGCCCTTAGACTCCGCCCACTTGCGTGCCGGGAGCCTCCAGGACCGGCCCGAGGGCTGTTTTCCTCTCAGTCCGCTCCGGAAGCGCGACTGCCGACGGAAATGTCACGTGATCTGGACGTCAGCGCGCCGGCGCCGCCGAGCGGGCGCCCTCGGTTTCCGCGGGACCGCGGTGGCTGCCCGGGCGGTGTTTCCCCGCCGCGTCGTGCCCTGTGGCGTCCTTTCCTCAGGCCGCCGCGGCCTGCCTCGCGGCTCCGCGATGTACCACAACAGCAGCCAGAAGCGGCACTGGACTTTCGCGAGCGAGGAGCAGCTGGCGCGCCTGCGGGCCGACGCCAACCGTAAATTCAAATGCAAAGCGGTGGCCAACGGGAAGGTGAGGGAGCCTGGCGGCCGGGTCCCTGCGCGCCCCCTTCCCCGCTGCCCGGCCTCGGCGGAGCGCGGGGCGTTTTCCCGACCACACGGGCGAGGACCTCGGGGAGCGACCCGCAGCGTGCGGAGGCCAAGGCTCTGGGGCGCTTGCGCGGGGCGGGGCGGGGCGGGGCGCTCTAGTCGTGGGGCGCTGTGCGGGGAGCCGGCGCGGGGAGCCTGGGAAGGGACGTTCCGGGCCGGCGGGGCCCGCAGGGGCTGGCGAAGGGCCAGGCCGCGCACCTGGAGGCGGAAGGAAGGAGTCCGGTTCGGGATGACGAGCTGGGGAGCCTGTTGTAAGACTTCCAAGTGGGAGGCTGACCTTTCGGGTTCTGTCGTAGAGAGCTGGGAACCCCGGGGGTGCGGGGGGTGGAGGCGGGACGCGGGGGTGGTCGGCGCCCGAGGCCTCGGCCCTGCCAGCCGAGCCCTTGCCGTCGTAGTTCCCGCCGCCCTGCTCCTCTAACACGGGCTCCGCCAAGGGTTCCAGCACCAGCGTCCCTCCGGCGAGTATTCCGCCTTTCAGACCCCTTGGGGCCGAGGCCCTTTGATGCCCGACCGACGTCTGTATCACGCCGCCTGCGTTTGGCGCTGCCCGAAGGGGGCCTCCCGGGCTGCGCCCCAGGCGCTGCTCTGAGTGTGAGTTAGCTCATTCAGTCCTCACAACCGTCCCACCAGGCAGATGCTGTTACTGTCCTTGCTTTACAGCCGGGGAAACTGAGGTATGGAGCGGGTGGATAATTTTTCAGGACTGGCAAGTGGCAGAGCCAGGATCTGTGAACCCATTCCTGCTGGGCCATCTCCATAAAATTAGTTGGTATTAGTTTCCTTGTGCTATCATTAAAAAAAAAACACACACACACAAACTGGGTGGTTTGTGCAACAGAAATGTTGTACATTTCCAGAAATGTACTGTTTCACAGTTCTAGAAGCCGGAAGTCTGGGATAAAGTTGTCATCAGGATATATTCTCTGTAGTTTCCAGGTGACCCTTTCCTCCTTCAGCTTCTAGTAACTTAAGTGTTCCTTTGCTTCTACCAACTTTTTTTTTTTTTTTTTAAGATTCCGTTTATTTATTCACGACAGACACAGAGAAAGAGGCAAAGACAGGCAGAGGGAGAAGCAGGCTCCATGCAGGGAGCCCAGCGTGGGACTCGATCCTGGGACTCCGGGATCACGCCCTGGGCTGAAGGCGGCGCTAAACCGCTGGGCCACCTGGGCTGCCCTGTTCTTTTGCTTCTATCTCTGTCTTTACAAAGTGTTCTCTTTGTTTCTTCTCACATTGTTATAAGGACACCAGTCGTATAGAATTAGGAGCCGCTGTCCTCCGGTATGGCCTCATATTAACTAGTCACATTTGTAGAGATTCTGTTTCCAGATAAGGTCACACACAAATCCTGGGGGTTAAGACTTCAACATACCCCTCCTCCCTTTTTTTGGTAAACATAATTAATCCAGCAACACTGCCTAGTATATAATTGGTGTAAAATTGTTGTATGAACCATCTAGGTATTTTGTGGAGAGTTTACAAAGACAGGAGGTACTATGGGGGGGGTGGAGGTACTGTTTTTTTAAGGGTCATAATCATCCTTGAGACACTTGTTGATTTTTACCTCAGCCTATGTGACTTAATGACTGAGAAAGGGATGTTGAAACCTTTGCAACCAATGACAGTATGTATCTTTTTTTTTTTTTTAAAGATTTCATTTATTTATTCATGAGAGACTGGAGAGAGAGAGGCAGACACAGGCAGAGGGAGAAGCAGGCTCCATGCAGGAAGCCCAACACGGGACTCCATCCGGGGACTCCAGGATCAGGCCCTGGGCCAAAGGCGGCGCTAAACCGCTGAGCCCCCCCCCTCCCCGTATCATCTTTTTTATTTATAATTGACATCAAACTTGTGAGCAGATGCACACCCTCTGTCATGATTCTTTTTACCCTACTGAAGTAAATGCCCAGCTGACATTCTGAGAAACTGTGATACAATAGGATCGTTTTTAGTTTATCAGATATTTCACTAATATTACTTCGTGTAATAATTTAGTTCTATAAAGAGAAAAATGACATCTGGTATATTTCCCTTTGGTTGGAGATACAAATGCAGTCTGGACCGAGAAAAGTATTTTAAGATTATTCATTTCATTGAACTTCTGCTGTAACTTTTGATCTAAAGGTTCTTCCAAATGATCCAGTCTTTCTTGAACCTCATGAAGAAATGATACTCTGCAAATACTATGAGAAGAGATTATTAGAATTCTGTTCAGTGTTTAAGCCAGCAATGCCAAGGTCTGTTGTGGTAAGTTACAACAGTGATAAAGTGTAATGTCCTTTAGCTGACTTCTGAAATCAGAACTTTTCTAAATGTGTAACACAGTTCTCTGCCCACTTTAGGCAAATGTACGTATTCATGTTTTTGTCATTTCATGTATTTTTTGATAAATTCCTTAACTTAGGAATTCTGTATCATTTCTTTTTCTTTAAAAAAAAAAAAAAAAGACTTATTCATGAGAGACACAGAGAGGCAGAGACATAGGCAGAGGGAGAAGCAGGCTCCCTGCAGGGAGCCTGATGGGAGACTCCCAGGATCCTGGGATCACACCCTCCCTGAGCCAAAGGTAGATGCTTGACCACTGAGCCACCCAGGTGCCCACATGAAACTTTTCTTTCAATCCAAAAGTAGATAAGTATCTATTTCATTGGTTCTAGTGAAATGACAGAGTAGTTAAAAGTACAGGCAGATCTTAGTTGAATCCCTCCGTATTCCTTATTAGATGTGTGACCCAGTTAATCTCACTGATAGGCAGTTTCCTTCTCTGTGGAGATAGCAGTACTTCACCAAGCTGTTGTAGGGATAGAAAAAGATGATAGCTTGGTGCTTGGCCCAGAATCTGGCCCATGGGATACAGTCAATAAATGGTAGGTGCTGCTTCTACTATTTAATGTGGGAATACGAGCATAGTTCTACCACACAGAGCCAAAGTGGATTTACAGAGAGGGCTTATTGCCCCAACTGTATTAATTCTGTCCATATTTTCACGAGATTGGTTAAGCTGTGAACATTTGTATGTTTCTCCTTGATTTTTTCCTAATCTGGTTGGCTTTTGTTACTCTGAAGTCTAAAATAAACACACATAGACTTTTTAAAATTAACTCAGTGACCATAGGAAGGGTAACCAGGGTGGGTGGGGAAGGACAAGAAAAGGTCTTTTGGCTGTGACATTGCTGTAATAATTCATCACAATTTATTTGATTAAAGAAGATTAAGTTTTGTATTTGTATCAGAAACTTTTTCAAAGAAACTTTTGCATATGTAAGTTTAAAAAAAATTTATGCAAAATTTAACATGGATGTGTGAATAGATTTTGATAATGTATGTATTTTTAATCATAGGGTACAGCTTGTATGTATTTCAAGCGTTTTTATCTTAATAACTCAGTAATGGAATATCACCCCCGGATAATAATGTGAGTATAATTCTAATTTATTGATTTTCATTTAAGAAAATCTTTATTTGTGTGGGGAAAAAAAGAAACGACTTTCTAATAAAGGGTAATTTAGACTTGCATTCTGTTATGAATTTATACTGTCCTTTTACTCCTATATATCTGTAATACTTCCCTCCCTATAGTACTTACGGCATCTGAACTTCAACTTATTCAAAGTCTGTTTTTCTTATACTAACTTTCCCTAATACCTCTTTCTGTTGGTAGCACCTTTCTTCTCTTTGTTGCTTCCGCTGAGAATCATTTGTGGTACCTCTTCTCCTTCTGTATCAGTGGGTTTAAAAGTCTTGTAGCTCCGGATTCATATCAATTGAAAAAAAGTCCATTAAAAATAAAGATACATCTAGTATGAGACTCATCAAAGAGCTTGCTATCAATCACATTCTCCTTATTTATTTTCTCTCTTTTTCATTTCCTTTTCTATCAGTCTAGGTCAGGCCCTTATTGCTTTCAATCTTGATTTTTGTGGTAATTTTATTACTAGATTCTTACTCTGATATTTATGGTAGTAGCCATGAGAGTTCCCAAGTTTGTTACTGAGGTGGTAATCTTTTGAAATGCCTTCAGAGTCTTCACTGGTGGTCTTCCTTTCTTCCTACCTTTCTTCCCACCTTTCTTACCTTGCTTCCTTCCCAGGTATATCTGTGTATACTGCTGTGTTCTTCTGTCTACATTTCATGATCCAGTGTACTCTTATTTTTCAGTTATTTTTCCAGATATTTATGTTGAACTTTATGAAATTGCTATTAAGTCAATTATGGTTGAATGCTATGGCAAGATTATACAGTTCAACCTAATTATAGTCTTCTAATGGATAAAAAGTTGAAAGAGAAAACTCTTTAAAAACAAAAAAAATTCCTGTAATGTCTAGCATCGTCACCTGTTAATATTAGGCATTTTTGGAATTTATTTTAGCAATAAAATACTCAGATATTTCTCAAAGTATGTACAGATCCCATCCTATCCCTTTGGTTTTTTTTCCTCTAGGCTTACTTGTGCATTTTTGGCCTGCAAAGTTGATGAATTCAACGTATCTAGTCCACAGTTCGTTGGAAATTTGAGGGAGAGTCCTCTTGGACAAGAGAAGGCGCTTGAACAGATTTTGGAATATGAACTACTTCTTATACAGCAACTTAATTTCCACCTTATTGTCCACAATCCTTATAGACCATTTGAGGGCTTTCTCATTGATTTAAAGGTATCTTGTTGATATAAAAAGTAAACTAGTAGAGTGTATACTTTTGCTATAGTTCTGTAGCCAGAAAAATCAGAATTTTATTATAACTTGTAATATTCCTAATTGTTACAACATGAATTGCTCTAACGTGAGTTTAGCTTGGCTCTCTAATGTTATAGTTCTCAAACTTCGGTGCCACCTGGAAGGATTGTTAACCGTACTGTTGGGCTACAGTACCAGAGCTGCTCATTTAGTGGATCTGCATATTGGTCCAGGAACAGTAATGAGGACTATTATCAGTTTAGAGTAATGCTTTTGAAGACTTAAGTTAACTCTTCTAATTCTGAAGTATACTGCCATGGATCTGATTTAAAGAACCACAAAAAGAAGATTGCTAAGTGATTTTTATTTTTAGTGCATGTGTAGGCATCAAAAATATAAGTAAATGAACCCTGACAAAAATAACTTGTTTTGTTTGGGTCCTGAAAGGGGACTTGGGATAGTGTGAGTGAGGTTAAAATGGAAGTCAAAAACTGGTTCATTCATCTCAGTTGAGTAGCAAAATTTGGGTACGTGTACCATATGCCAAGACATTGTGCTTGAGGATTAAGACAGGAACAGCCTCAACTCTCCTAGGTCTTACAGTCTAATGGGAAAGATAATCATATATTCAGTGTGCTAAGTGTTACAGAATAAAAGATACAGGATACTTTAGAATGAGATGGGTTGTTGTGAGAAAGGGTCATTTAGAGTGAAAATCAGAGCAAGAGTAGGAATTAGGCAGTAGAATAATATCCCAATTAGATTTCTTTGGTCAAAAGTCCAGATTCAAGAAACCATGGTGCAAGAACCTAAACAGCTTAGCGATAGAGGGGAAAAGACTGCCACAGAGTGCTAACTGGGTGGAAGGTAGAGTGTAGACTGTGGAGGGGATATTAAGGATTTTGAATAGAGCAGTGGGAGACCACTGTAAGGCTTAAGTCTGGGCAGTGGCATAATTAGGTTTGCAGTTTTAAAAATTTTGTTTGGAAGCTCTTGAATCAGCCTGCATCAGCTATTTATTGCACATGTGTATGTGTCAGACATAATGTGGAGAATGGATTAGAATGGATGAAAGGATACCAGTAAGATGCTGTTATGAGTAGTCCAAGCAAAAGATGGTGGTTGGCTTGACTCATCCAGTGGCTGTGCATATAGAGAGAACTTCCTGGACTTAGGAGATACTAGTCAACCACTAGAGCTTGAGGATTTACTTCCTGTAGAGACTGAGAACAGAGGAGGAACCCCCAGGTTTCTGGCCTAAGAATATAGGTGGATGGTGGTTCAATTCCGGATACAGAAAACGCTGGCATAGAAGAGATTGATTGATAGTGGAGGGGTGGGGTTTGATGAATCTAGTTTGGGACATAATAAATTTCCAATACCTCCAAGACATCATGAGTGTCTGGAAGTGAGAGACGATGGCTAAGCTATTGGGTGTCGTTACTTCTGGAAAACTTAAACTGGGTTGGCCAAAGGACCATTTAAAGGGTGGTTAGAGAAGGGTGCCGGGGTGGCTCATTGGTTAAGCACCCAACTCTTGGTTTTGGCTCAGGGTCATAAGATCGAGCCCCACGTTGCTCTGGGAGCACAGTGTCTCCTGGAGATTCTCTCCCTCGGCCCCCCCCCCACCTCCCTTCTCTCATGCTTGCTCCCTTGCTTGCTCTCTCTAAAAATAAGTTATTTTCATAAATAAAGATAGAATAATTAGAGGAATAGAAGATGCTAGTAAGGATACCGAAAATATCCAAAGAGATAGGACTTTCTGGAGAAGTGAAGAGAAGTAGAGTACTTTTAGAAGATGAACACAGGTCACTCTCTAACCTGTTCAGAATTCAGGCAAAGTAAAAGCAAAAGGGATAATGTTTGCTGGGTTGAGTGCCCGAAGGGTCATTTGCGATTTTTGTCTTCATAGAGCATGGAGGAAGAAACAGATTGGAGCCAGTTGGGGAATACATAGAAGGTGAGAAAATAGGTATTTATGACATGGATTAAACAGCTTGTCTTTGAAGTGGAAAAAGATGAGTGATTGAGAAGATAGAGGAACTCCTAGAAAGAGATGAGAGAGATGGCTTTTGTTTTGCTTTGTGGAAGAAACTGATGTGGAGAGCTAGTAGTGAGAGAGAGCTTAAAGGAAGAAGTGAAAAATAAGTTCAGCTTTCTCTTTGGAGTAAGGTATAAGGGACTGGCATGAGATTCAAAGCAAAATAGAAGAATTGGCCTTGAGAGAATAATAGCTCTTAGAACAGAGAGAAAGAGGAAAGCATGGGTTGAGGACAGCATTACCCCTGGGGATTGAGGCTGACAGAAGATAGTGTATCTTTGTTTAAAGCAGAGATCATTTACAGAGAGTGGTGGAATTTCTGAAGACGTTGAGACAGGTGGCAATGTTGAACACAGTTACTGAAAAATGGGAGAACAACTTTTCTATGGGATATTATCATAGCTAGGCAGTGTTGAAAGTCCTCCTGAGGTCAGTGAACTTGAATTTATAATAATAGTATCAGACCTCTTGGTGGTACTATTTTCTATTGCAGCACCAAGAAATGTGGATATAGTTACAGAGCAGATTGCTTGGATTCAGCCGTTGTTAAGGCTCTGTCTGAAATATATTGGCAGCATATTGAGGCAGGGAATTCTGGAGGGAAATGAGGATCCGTGGACATTGGTGAGTAGGAGCAAGTAGAGGGATAAGGGACCAAAGGTTCTGAAGAGGAAGTCAGGGAATAGCTGTGAAGTAATTGAGGAAATATATTGGGGGAAAGGAGCACTGTGGTCAGAGTGGAATGTCTGAATTTGTCATAGTAGAGGTCAGCCATTTCAGGAGAGTAAGATTTGAGTGTGACTGCAGTTGACTCAGGATATTTTGTGTGGAGCATAGAAGAGATTTCTTAGTGCCTTGGGATTTGAATGTGGATTTCTGAAATAGATCTGAGGGTTTAGGATTTAGAGTTCAGCATAAGAGTTTTTAGGAAATACAGGCTCTTCCATATTTCCTGGGCATATTCTAAAAATAATTCTGTAATCAAATCAAGATCCATTTCCATTCACTTCTTCCCAAAAGTAAACTTCAAGTAGCAGGAATTTCAAATCTAGATGAGGTGGTGCTTTGATTCCTAAAGGGCCTTGAAGCTGAATCAAAGCTGGATTGCCTGGAAAGCCTTTTCCTTGGAGTATGTATGTCTTAGGTCAACTTCAAACCTCTCTTCCCCTTCCTCCTCAGCTGGAAAAGGATAAAGAGGATTAACATAGATCCGAGTAGTGCCAAGTACTATACTGGGAACATCAGATTCTTAAAGCATATATTTCTTGTTAGGGTTGTGATTTTAAAAAGTTTGAAAGTCACTGAGGAAAAGCAGATTCTTAAAACATGCAGAATTTAATGACTATACTTTGGGTACATTCTGATGCTGAGTACAAAACAATCATATGTGGAAAGATTAAGCTGGTGTGTTATTTTTTTTTATTTTTTTTATTTTTTAAGATTTGAGAGCAAGAGCGCCAGTGTACAGGAACAGGGAGAGTAGGGGGAAGGGGCAGAAGGAAAGACTCCCAGGCAGATTCCCTGCTCAGTGTGGAGGCCAATGCAGGGCTTCATGCCGGGCTTGATCCCATGATGCTGAGATCATGACCTGAGCTGATACCAAGAAGTGGACACCTAACCAATCAATGGAAGCCACTCAGGCACCCCTGGGGTGTTATTTTTATAAATAAAAGAATCCTTTGTTAAACATTTTCTTGTTTATATAAATATTTTTGAACTCTTATTACTGTTAACTCTCAAAAGTGGTAACGTTGGGATACTTTATTTCTAGACTCGCTATCCCATGATGGAGAATCCTGAGATGTTGAGGAAAACAGCTGATGACTTTCTTAATAGAATCGCATTGACCGATGCTTACCTGTTATATACACCTTCCCAAATTGCCCTGACTGCCATTTTATCTAGTGCATCTCGAGCAGGAATTACTATGGAAAGGTACTAATCTGTGTTTTAACTTGGATCAGACTCAGGTTATCCCTGCCTGTAGACCCAGCTTTTAAGTGAGACTCACTTTGTGACTGTAGTCCTCTGTGCCTCCTATGGTTGGGAGGGTTGGTGAGGGGCACTGAGAGAAAAAATGAAATCACCTTTTAAAGAAATCTTTAAAAATTGAGCATCTTTGAGCTGAGGGATATCCATTTTGTGATGAAAGTAGAAGTAAAGGAGGTGATCCTTGAAGGGCTGATGGAGCTGCCAGCAGAGGGTGAACTGGCAAGCAACATGCACACAGCAAATACGTTTGCCTTGATTTCTCATTATTCCCCTGCTGTGGAGCGTGTATGGCATGTGGAATTCCGTGAAGGTCTGTTGAATGAATAAGGCTTTAGAGACTGTCCATGTGACGTGCACCTGAGCTGCAGAAAGCAACAGCTGATGCATATGTGCACAGCGAGGACCAGGCTTCGCCATAAGCCCTTCACCTGAATTAAGTTTACTTGATTCTTCGCAATATCTTATGCACGAGCTAATTAAACATACTGATTTTTTTTTAAGATTTTATTTATTTATTCATTTGAGACACACAGAGAGAGAGGCAGAGACACAGGCAGAGGGAGAAGCAGGGTCCCTGTGGCAAGCCCGATGTGGGACTTGATCCATGGTCTCCAGGATCATGCGCTGAGCTGAAGGCAGACACACTCAACTGCTGAGCCACCTGGGCGTCCCTATTATACTGATTGTAACTCAGGCACAGGCCAGTAGCAAATGAGATTGTGTCCGTTTTTATGATGATTTCTCCGTTTCTCTGACTTTGAAGTTCTGACCAATCTTAGTCCTAGAAAAATCTGAGAAAGATGATAAAATTTTCCACTCTCCACGTTTGTAATACCCTCTTCCATGATCTCATGATGCATGGATTATGGTGGTGGCAAACATGAACAGATGTGTCTTTATTCCGCCTAATGGGAGTGTTTACATGTTTCTCAGAGAAGTACGGGCGTAACTGGCGACAGGCTGCTTCCCCAGACATCTCTAGCCTGTTGCATGTTTCATGGTACTTTCCACAGCTTCCCTTTCCAAAACATGAACAGTTTATGAATTTCAAAACAGATCTAAGATAAGGGATTGTGGGCTTACGTGTAAATCACGTTTACTTTATAGTATGCCTCTTCTCTACAAACACAGCTCACCAAATGTACATAATTTAATCCCAAAGTGATCATTTGTTTAATTGAGCAAAACTTTACCGAGTCCCTTCCCTGCACCATGCGCTGCACGGTTAGAATGAACCAAGCCGTCAATCCTTGTTCTAGTTAGGGAAGATGGCCAGCAGATGGTTGCTCTCTGTGGAGTTCAGGTGTGCAGCTTCCACTCTCCAAGAGAAGAAAGCCTCTTCCCCACAATTCAGATAACCACACATTTAATTAATCTGTTGAAGCATTGTGTCTTGATGCAGCATATATGCAAATTCTCCAGTGGTGAGATTCTTCTTCTGTAGTTGGAGAGGGATGAAGCATCCGAAAGTCCAAATCAGAGTTTATGTCATCTTGGAAGTGTAGTTAAAATTTCAGATAGTGGAAACTAAAATTGTAACTTGGGCTCATTGCAGATTAAATATACTATTGAATTTCCAAGGGACCATAAACAGGTGGACTTTTTTTTTTTCCTTTGAGGAAATACTTGCAGATCATTTTTAACTTCTGATTTACTTTGCAAATTTTGAGGATATATTGGAATTCCCTTTATATTTATTGCTGGTTTCAGAAAGGTAAAGCCCTTGTGCTATTATATTCTGGATGATGCTTTAGATTAGTACTCATAGGATGTTCTGTTCTGAATTGTCTTTTTTACTGGATTTTGAGATTTATTTTTTATCTCCTACTTTGACTTGTTAAGTATTCCTGCTTGCTCATGGATTTTTTTAAAAATCAAAATACTGAAATTCTCTAAAATTCAAAATCAGGATTGAGATTGAGTTGCTAATTTAAAGGCTTGTAGAGGTAAAGAGCCTGGTCAGCTCTTATTTTTTTTTTCCTGGTCAGCTCTTAGAACCCAATGTAGCACGCTTGCACTTAAGAAGTGGAAAGGAAAGGAAGAATAAAAAGAGACAAAAGAAGATGCCAGAAGTGTAAGGGGTTTTATGGGAGAAAAAGGTTATTTTGAATTACTGATAACCAGAAGTGTATTAGTTGTTAAGGAAGTTGTTTTTATATCTAAAATTAATTCCCATCATTGATGATGAAGTTGTAACATCAAACTTAGTTATCAAAATTTATGTAATATTATTTAAATAATCTGGATAGTTTAAAAGATACCAACAAAATTTCCTAAAGAATTGTCTACTGTTGTAATTATATATCACCATTTATTCACTTTGCCATTTTTCAGAGACATTAATTTTTTGAACTTGTGTTTGATGATTTATGTCTTCAAAATCTGTTCGCTTGGGCATTTATCAATTATAGATCAAGTTCAGAGTAACTAAATATTTACATACAGAAATTATTTTCATGCTGCTATCATTGGTTTTGAGAAAAACAGATAATTGGGCTTTATATCCATTTATGGAAAAGTATTAACATTTTTGATTCAGGCTCTATGCAGATACGATGTGATAGATTTGCAGAGCACGAGGATATTCTCAACTGGTTTGAAACCTGTTAGTCTCGAGAAGAGCACCTGTAGCTTAACTTGATATTAAGGGGAGAGAGAATCCTTAGCTCTGCTACTTTGCAGCTTTATGACTTTGGGCAGGTGACAAGATCATGACTTGTCTGTCCTGTGACGGACATATATATGTAAAATATATATTAAAAAATTTACACACTAATCTGAACATTAAACTTTTTTTTTTAACATTTTATTTATGATAGAGTAAGAGAGATGTGCTCCTCCACAAACAGGAGGAGCAGCAGGGAGAGGGAGAAGCAGGCTCCACACTGACCATGGAGGCTGATGTGGGGCTCAGTCACAGGACCCCAGGATCATGACCTGAGCCAAAGGCAGACACTTAACCGACTGAACCACTCAGGCACACCCCGAACATTAAACATCTTTTAAACTCAGTTGTAGGGATCCCTGGGTGGCGCAGTGGTTTAGCGCCTGCCTTTGGCCCAGGGCGCGATCCTGGAGACCTGGGATCAAATCCCACGTCGGGCTCCCGGTGCATGGAGCCTGCTTCTCCCTCTGCCTATGTCTCTGCCTCTCTCTCTCTCTCTCTCTGTGTGACTATCATAATTAAATAAAAATTAAAAAATAAATAAATAAACTCAGTTGTATTGAATTCTTTAAGACTATAATAGATTACACAGTTTTGTGGAAATCAAAATATTGTTATTTAATACTTTTGAAGTAAATTACTTTTAAAATTGCCCTTAATGAAATGCACATGGGGGAAACTAATTTATGTCATGTTTCTCAAGATGCTATATGGGTTCAATAGATTAAAACTTTTTTCTTTTCTTTACCAGTTATTTATCAGAAAGTCTGATGCTGAAAGAGAACAGAACTTGCTTATCACAGTTACTAGATATAATGAAAAGTAAGTGAAACAGGACAATTTCATAAAACGTTCTTCTATTACAAAGCTACTTTCTAAATATCATCTTGATATTTAATTTGAGGTATCCTATAGATCGTTGTTTAGATTTATTTTCATTGAATTAATGTATCATGGAGGCATGAGGGATACATTCACTGATGAACAAATACAGCTTCCATGAAAGTAAGTCATTTGTACATAAACTGAACTTACTAGGAAAGTGAAAATACAAGATTCAGAAAGGGTTAAGATTCAAAACAGTTCTTTTAAAGTGTACACAGGTATATGATAGGCACAGGAAAAGATCTAAATGGAGCCAGATTAAAAGATAATACTTAAAATTTGAAGTTCTGTTTTGTAAACAGCTTTAATTAGTGAATAGACATTATTTGCTAGTCATGTTGCTATTATAAAAGCCCTCGTTCTCCACTGGGTATGATTTTTGCAATGTCTGGGACACTTTTGGCTTTCAGGACTTGGGGCAGGTGGGGATGGTGGCTACTACGAGCATTTAGTTGGTAGAAGTAAGAATGCTGCTGAACATCTTACAATTCGGTGTAGCCCCTTGATAGGCTGAGAAACGGCTCCCCAAGATACCCATGTCCTAATCCTTGGAAACCGTGAATGTTCCCTTAGAAAGTCTCCGCAGATGTGTTAAAGTTGAGGATCTTGAGATGGGGACAGTATCCTGGATATCCAGGTAGGGCATAAATGCATCACAGGAGTCCTTATTAAAGAAAGGCAGAAGTTTGATCCAGAGAAGGCACTGTGATGACAGAGCACAGTGAAAGATCTGAGGGTGCAAACTTTGAAAATTGGAGTGATAGGGCCACAAGCCAAGGGATGTTGGCAGCCACAAGAAGCTGAGACAGAGAAGGAATGGATTTTCCCCTAGAGCCTCCAGAGGAAACATGGCTATGCTGACATTTTGATTTTGACCCAGTGAAAAGGATTTCAGACTCCTGGGCTTCAGAACTGTTGGAGGAGAATCCAAATCCATTTATGTTGTGATAAGCCTTACTGAGTTTGTGATAATTTCAATAGCTGACTCCGGAAACAAATAGAGCCCCTCACAAGAAGGCCAAACTGTCAGCATTGTCAGTGTCAAGAAACCCTGTCTTAATGGTTGAGTAGAGATTACCCACCCTCTCCTCTTCACTCTTGCCTGGGCATCACTGATGCTCATGGCTACTAAGCTTTATGATTCAAAGTCAATTGTGTGTATCCCCCAAACTCTTTGTGCTATTTATCCTTGTTAATTATGTAGTTGAAATACTGAGTAAACCAATAAACTACGACTAAAAATCTTGATCTTGAATGATAGTAGTAACTGAGGGTACTTTTTATATGCTTTATGTTTCAGAAGGTAAGCTTCTTCAGGGCATGTAAAATATCATTTTTTGATTCTCTGAAATTATCTCATGGGGGCTTGCTTCAGTTAAGTGATGGATTTGTGATTTATGAATCATAAAACTGTAGGTCTTCAGTTACACCACTAGAGGGTTCACTTCCAGAGCTAATTGTGATTTGGCCAGAGATTATTAGTTAGGATCATGAAATTGAGGAGGTAAAAGGAGCCTTAAAGATAACCCACTATGTTCATTGTACAGCTGATAGTTTTTGATTGATTTCTTCTCAGTACCTTTATTTTACTCCACTTGTTTTAATGTGAAGAGTAGCTCCTGAGAAAACACTCAGCTTTCACAATGTTAAGATGTCTTATCCTATTCATAATTTTTCGGAACAAAGATACTGTTCTAAGGGTAGTGAGCCACAAGTATTAGTTCAGGTGAAAACACGGCTTTGCAATGCGAAATAAGCCAGTAGCTCCACCTATTTGGAGCATGTAGCTGCTAATAATGAACCTATTCCCCTAAAAATCTTGAGATTTATATTCTTTGGTTTATTGCAGTTGAATAACATAAACTGACCAGGGTAAGGACATTTCTGCAGTTGTAAAGTCCCTGACACAGTTTACTCCTAGCCTAAAGAGGACATTTTTGTTTTCTTGGTGATGCTTTATTGTATAGCTTCTGCCTTTTGTTGAAGCAAAGGATCATTGACACATTTTTACTAAGCATCCTCCTTCTATTGCATGTCATCTAATATTCGTTTCCTTTGTCAATAAGAAGTAAAGTCTTTGGGCCACCATCTGTAGCATAGAATGTCATAAATACATTGTTGGTAGAGAACAAAGCATGTTTACTAAATCACGGATTTTTAAAGCATTAGACCTGAAAAACCGACTGCGGTGGGATTTGGTAAAAATACGGATTAGATTGCAGAACATGTTTATTTTTATGCTGTATATGATATAGGCTAAGCAGCAGACAGCTATTATTTGAAGTATGGTGTTCACTGTATTTTTTTTTTAAAGATTTTATTTATTCATGAGAGACAGAGAGAGAAGGGAGGGGGCAGAGACACAGGCAGAGGGAGAAGCAGGCTCCATGCAGGGAGCCCAACGTGGGACTCGATCCCGGGACTCCAGGATCACGCCCTGGGCCGAAGGCAGGCGCTAAACCGCTGAGCCACCCAGGGATCCCCGTGTTCATTGTATTTTAATGCCTAACATTGCAAATCCTGATTAAGAAACATCACATTTCTAGAGTTTTGTTATTTTTCCCATAATAAGATGGGAAAATAGCTCCCTTAGGGAACAGGACTTTTTACTATCTAGTATGAATTTTTTTTATCTCCATATAGGTATGAGAAACTTGGTAAAAAAATATGAGCCACCCAGATCTGAAGAAGTTGCTGCTCTGAAACAGAAGTTGGAGAGATGTCACTCTGCTGAGCTTGCCCTTAACGTAATTACGTAAGTAGATGAGAATATTATTCAGTAGATAAAACTGTTATTGAGACTAGCTTGTCCTTAAATCATTTAACTGGTAAATGTTTGCTTTTGTGGGGAAAAAATGACTTACCCATTACACGACGTAACAGCTTGGCTTTCATAGTACAGCTCCTGCTATATGACTAACGTGTTCTTTAGCTTGTGGGCCATATCCTATTACTTCCCGTGGGATCTCTGGAGTCTTTCTAGAGAATCTCTGAGCCTCTTCTTGCCCTTTTAACATTTGGGTTCTTTACAGGTCTGGTATCTTGTCTGAGAAAACAGGTATACTGTTTCAGAATTATTTATTAGCTGGAGCAAGAAAAGCTGGCCTATTTTCTTTCAGGGTAAGCTTTAAATTGAAGATGGAACCCGTAAGAAAATGTGCTGTTAGGAATCCTCTTGGCAGCCATAAGGAACACCTATAAGGTCTCTGATTTGTAGGCTGACTGTGGGAATCACACGATTTGGGCTCTTTGTGCTTTACAAATTGAAGGATCCGCTCAAGCCTCATCTTTTAGGGTTTAAACAAGTTGGGGGTTTGGGCAGGTAATAATGGGAAAACTTTTTTCTGTGGAATACATTGATTCAAAAGTTCTACCTTATTATGCAGTGGGAGTTAGCCTTGATATTTTAGAGTTAACATCCATTGAATATGTTTTTCATTTCTGTAATTGGCAAATATACTGAAATGCATAATGTCTGAGAAACCAGAACAGCGTTCCATAGCCTTCAGGTCCAGATCCACATGGCTCAAGTTCTTTACACAGTTGTAGGTGAAGAATATCCAAGGATTTATGAATCATGCAGAATAGGGAATTAATGATAGCCTAGCTCTCATGGCAAAGCATGCCTTAGTCTAGAACTTCAGATTGGTAGACCTCACTCCTGGGTTTCAGTGATAACTCACAGAAATGACAGAGTGGTTACAGAGAAGTATAGAAATGTTGACTTTAATAAATGAAAATATTAAAAAAAAATAAATGAAAATATTGTAGCAGTGATTATATTCTTTTCACATTGATTTTGAAATGGGCTTCAACCAGGGGTCCACAAACTGTGGCCCATAGGCCAAATGTGAACTCTGCCACCTGTTTTTAGAAAGACTTGTACTGGAGCAGAGACATACCCATTAGACCTACCCTTTAGACATACCCAATAGTTTGCATATTGTCTGTGGCTATTTTCACACAATGACAGGAGTTGGGTAGTTGTGACTCCTTGTGTAGCCTAGACGGTGAAAAATATTTGCTGTTTGACTATTTAAAGAAAATGTTATCATTCTCTGGATTAGACCATTGAACTATTATTAATCTGCCCTCTTAGGTAGGTAACTGAATGGACCATAGTCCAAAATTCCTAATTGCCAGAGTACCTCTTACTCTAAAAGTTATTATGTGCTTTTGTAGTATGTCAAGCAAATTCTGCGTTTCCACGAATACTTGAGAAGGGCTTTTTAGACCACCTGTAAAGGACTTTTTTTAAAGTCCAGTATGAAATGCAATAAAATAAAGTACTAGAAAAACGAAATAGAATATAAGTTGAAATTTTATTAGCAATAGTCATAAAACTAATCAATGGAGTTGCTATAAAAGTTCTAAACACAGTCTGTTTCTATACTTCAACTTTTTGCATTCTGAAAATGGTTCACGACTGGTGCATGGAACACACTGAGACAGGCACTACTTCAGGAAAAAATATTTGTTTTCTGGGTCTTTAAAATTCCTTTACCTTTCTTTTTCATTACACAATTAACTATATTGCCGTTACGAAAGTCAGTTAATACAGGTAAACTAAAGTTCTCTTTGACCAAAACCCAAATCCAGTTGTGACCTCAGAGGCAACACCTAGTTGGTTTACTTTTGTCAGTCCTTTTTCTGTATATGTGTGTATCAAATAAGGTTTTTCGTCTCGGATGTTTTCATACATATTGTAAAACATATAATAGTATCAATCTTTAACTTGCCAGTCTGGGTGAGAAAGCTGTATCACATTGGTTATTTTAATTTGCATTTTCCCTCTTACTCTGAGGCGTTGAGGCTTTTGTGTTTAACAGTCATTTGTAGTTCTTTTTTCCTCCTTATAATCCTTGTGCAGTTTTCTGGTGTTACTTTCCTGATTTGTAGTTCTTTATATATTTTATATACTTGTCTTTTCCTTTATATCCTACAGCTGTTTTCTGGTTTCTTTCAACTTTGTGATATATAGGGAGATTTGTGTTCTGTTTCATGCTTTTACATTTGAATGCCTTTTCTTACCCTAAGGTAATCCGTATTTTATTTTGCTTTTTGTTCAGCTGTTTAAACCACTTAGAATTATTTGTGAATGATGTGAGGTACACATCTCCTAACACTAACTTTTATCAAATAATGTTATCGCCATTTTTAAAAAATTGATAATTTTCCCCAGTTATTCATTGTATATTAAATTCCTATATATACATCGTTTTTTGCCTGTCTGCTCCAATCATTGATCCATTTAATTCTTGCTAATACAGCATTTTATCTTATGTAGATAGTATTTTGATGATAACTGGAACAAAGGCCCCACGCTTTATTCTTTCAGTTTCTTTTTGCTATTTTTGCATAGTCTTTTGCACATCAGTTACACTTGACAGGTTCCATGAGAAATTTTATTAGGATGTTAGTTAGAATTGCATTAAACATAAAGATTAATTTGAAAGGTAATGTCTTCCTCTCCATAATTCATCTCTTTCCATCTACTGCAGCTTAGTTCTTCACTACAAACACACACACACACAGAATATTTCATATCACCTTACTAGTTTATTTTATAGTGTCTGTTCCCAGTTTTAGATTACTTATTGATGGCTGCCCAATTACAGGAAGAAGAGGAAAGGCTATGAAGATGATGATTATGTCTCAAAGAAACCCAAACATGAAGAGGTATGTTCTCCAAAGGTAAATTTAAAGTTACTGTTGTTGGGTAATCTGGTACGACCATACTGTTCTGATTTTATTGTTCCAGAACACAAGTATCTTAGAGATGTGGGCTTTGAAGCCTTCATTTTTGTTTTTTGCATCCTTCTTGGTGTATACTGTCTGATTATGGGGTTTTCTCACTTCTATCTTAGCGTGTTCAGAAGCAGTATGATAGTTTATTGATGAAGAATCCTTCCTGTGGTTCTGGAAAGCAGCAGAAATAGAGATAACATGCTAAATTTTTGCTTGGTTTTTGCCTCTTCAGGGATTCTTCTCTCACCTTTTTCAAAGAATTGTACCTTACATGTCAGATAAAAATTAATAATAAGAGGCAGAAAGTCACAATCGTGACCTTTACTCCTGTCATTGGTGTCGTCTCATGAGACTAAGCCACATTACTAGAAGATTGAACTCTACAAATTTTCCTAGTTTATTACCTTCCTGTAACCGGAGGGAAAGGAGGAAGATTTTCCTGAAATGTGAAGAGGTAAACAGTGCTGTTATCCTTCAGTGTAATGTCATTCTTACTATATTCTCTTTCCTTCTTAGGAAGAATGGACTGACGATGACCTCGTAGATTCTCTCTAGCCATTTGAAATTGACTTTTCAATGCTAACTGATCACACGGATGAAGCACATCTTAACTTTATTGAAAGTATCAAGTATAATAAACTTTTCTATTTGTTATTTTTTTCCTTCCAAGATAGCTTTATGTGAAATAAAACTTGCTCTAAACGGACCCAGAATAGCACCTGGTTTAGATCTTACCCCATCATGACTAATATCAAATTAGTCTTTCTACAGTAGTCAGAGCTATAATTTATTTGCCTATATTGTCTTAAAATAAGCAAACCTATCCTTTTAGGGAAAAAAGGCACAAAAAAAAAAGGTCTACAAAAAATAAAACCAAGTAATCAGCTTTAAACATGGTAGGACACATGGTAGGACATGGTTTTTGCCCTCTAGAAACCTTTATATAAATGCCATCTCAAAGGTCATCATGATATACTTAGCTTTTTTGTATAGAACTACCGAACGACAAAAATGTACTTCGACTACAACTGAAAGCCAGTTAACCCAGGGTAATCATCATCTGCATTTTTTTCCCTCAATTACCTGAAATCATTACCAAATAAGTTCTAAAAAAGAAATCAGATAAACACATAGTCTTGAATACGGTCTAGACGAAAAGATAAAGTTGCTGTAGGGGAGCAGATAGCAAATTGTATATTCCGTTTCAAAACTAACATTATTCAATCTATATAAACAGGTGTTATAGTTACTAAGAACTTTTCAAATTAAATACATTCAAAACATTGAATTCAAACTGAAGTGAGCTGATCTAAAATGTAATTGCACAGATGATGGTACCAAGATACTTGGGTATGACCTTGGCTGTCTGTTTCACTCCGTGACTTTGGTCGAGTTCTAAAGCTGTGACAGTTTTCCAAGGTGTAAATAGGGAAGATAATGCCTACTTTTCATAGGATTAATGGGAGTGGTGCTTCCATATTCTAAGTGTTCATTTGTTCAGGTATTTGTGATCTTACTCAGTTTCTAAGTTGGAACCAAATTATGAATGTCAAATTTTTGTCTGGAAAACTAGGTTGTAGGAATTCTTTTTTTTTTTTTTTTGAAAGATTTATTTATTCATGAGAGAGAGAAGCAGGCAGAGGGAGAAGCAGGCTCCTTGCAGGGAGCCCGACGTGGGACTCCAAGATCATGCCCTGGGCTGAAGGCGGCGCTAAACTGTTGAGCTACCCAGGGATCCCTGGTTGTAGGAATTCTGAGAAACTCAGTAGTCCTGTAAATCTGAGTTTGATGGCTACACAGCTGTCTTCAGCGTCAGTACATCCCAGGCCGTGCTTACCATGAAAGCGCAGGTACCATTTTAATTCCACCTCAGTATTTGAGGGCAGTATTTATTATATTCTAATATTCTTCTAATTCTTTACAAAGTTTATGACTTTTTTGGTTTATTTTTAGTGCCTTCTAATTGTAGAACAATGAATGAAAATCATGAAGCGTGATTTTTTTTTTTTTTTTTTTTATACATAGAACAGAAGAAGCTTAAGTTGACAACCTTCTTACGCAGTCCAAGTGAAGCAGCAGTGCTGCTCGTCTCTAGACCCCATTGTGTAGTGTTCATGCCTTTGACCCGGTTTCTCTTTTAGGTCACTAAGCTTTGGTATCAGAGCAAGGTCCACATTTATTTCTGAAAAGTCTCCTACCCAGCCCCTTTAGAAAGTTTGTGGTTTTCTTTCATCTTTGACCCAACTAGTTACTGCAAGGCATACAAAGGTACATGGCACATTTCCTATTACAGCTTTAGAGATGAAGATGGCATTAAAATATCAAAGGCAGAAGAGGAAATTCCTGCCAGGGGAATGGTGGATGATTGATAGGTCAGTATTGGTGAAGACTGACGAGTGATGGATGGGGGAAGTAAGTTGCCACGCACTAGGATTTGGCCCTCTTTTGCATAGTGTTGAAACATTTCTGGAGTGGTCACTGGTCTGTATCCCTTCTGGTCCGTCCTTTGTCCTGTAACCCAACTGGGCTACTGCCATGGCAGTGCAGCTCTGAAGCAGTTGTGATGGGAAAGGTCAGGGGAACTGCGTAGACACCAAGAAAAAGGAGGCTGTTCACCTGCGTCTGCAGAAGAAACAGCCTCCATCAATCTTTTAAAGCCCTGATTGGTTTTTTCCTGTATTTTAAAGTGTTAACTGAAGTGTTGCTCTTGGAAAGTTATTTACTGTGGAAAATGCTTTTCTGCCATGTACTTTTTGTAGGCCTTCTCTCCCCTGCACACTCATGGGAGAGAAGGAATTGTGATTCTTCTCTCCGGGCCTTGCTCTGGTGCTAAATTTGAACTGCCCCAGAAGGAGGAGGAGAATGATGAAACTGAATGCTGAGCTGTATTTAGACAGAAGTAATCAGTTATTCAAGATAACCCTTGGTTTTATTTTAACTTAAACCCTTGTGAATATTTCACAAAAATACATATACAGAAGCAAAACTATACAAACTAAATATGCAGCAGATAGAACAAGTAGTCAGAAGTTCAAAGATGGATAACTGTGTAAAAAAAAAAAAAAATCAATTTGGAAATGAGTACTTTCAACAAAAGCATTCCAGACTTTTAAACACAAAATAAATTGTAATCTACAGAATGGATGAATGGGTAACATGCATTGATCAGTACAGTGACCAATAATATTTATTGAATTCAAACTATTTACTGTTGTAAACATTTAACGAAAGCATCATGAGATCTAAATACAGTCTTTGACAATTCCAACAAAATAAGTGGTATGTTTAAAAAATAAAGCTGATGAGCAATAGATCATATTTTCTTTCAACAGTTCCAGCAAGAGAAATAGCACAGTATTTTAAAAAAGTATACAGCAAAGATTGTTCCTATTATAATGGCAGACTCTGAAAACTGTAAATACAAATAGTCATTGAACAGTCAAACGGTCATATTCCTAATCAGGAGGAAGTTACAGTAAGAACAGTCAGCAATCCAGTTAGAATCCTTTTCCTTGTCAGTTGGTTTCATAGTTCTTTTTCAAAGATGCAGCAAAACTTTGGCAATTGGATGTATTGAAAATATATTTTCCAAGTTCAAGGTATAGTCAGTCTCATAGCATTTTGTTGTCATGTGAAAGGTGATCTGTACACAAAGGCTCAGATGTTGGTAAAGATTGATCCCATATGTGGAAAAAGTGCAAATTTCCTGCACAGATAGCTTACAAAGCTGCTGGCACATTTAGTCACCAGCAGAATCTTGGATTTTGTTTGCATAGCTCACACATCACTGGAATGTGGAAAGGTGTGCTATTTTTTTGGCAAGAGCAAAGGAGACATTGTACTGATGTGAATTACCATGTTGGGCATGCTGAATCCAAGCAGAACACTTGGGCCAAGGCTGCTACCTGACATCATTAGTTTTTGTATACTGGTTTTGTTTTTGTTGAAGCAGTTCTGTTATAGCCAGAAGCTTTTTCAGTACGTGCTAAAACAAGGAAAAATAGTATGAAAATAATTAGTAAAGAAATGAAAGTTCAGTCAAATTTCTGGGAACCTGGATTTTGTAAATAGTCACGTTGATTCAAAGGAATTCATAAAATATTAACCATTCTACTTAAAGCATAAAATTTTGACGGTTTCTATCATTAAGTCATTGACTCAGTATTTTTGGTCAAGATAGAATTTTTGTACACTAGATAGAAATTATTTGGCATTTTCATATCCACTTAGAATAGAACATCTTGCCAGAAGATAGATTTATTATTACAAATGACATTATTATCCTTAGTGGATTGAGGATCATGGAAGAAATAGAACTACACTGGGCCTAAAAATAGGCCAAATTCTCCAATAAGAATTTTATTTTAATTAAGGCAGATCATAATAAACAATAAAATGTCCATTGTAGCTGCAAGACATTGTATGTACCACAGACACATAAGTGGGCCAGTGGCACATACTCTGCTAAAGTGATTGATTAGAATCTCTGGTTGAAGAAAACTTGGAATCCACAAACACAATGCTTTACTTTTAATCTCTTCTCCAAGGCCCCTGCCACATGGTTGGCCAGTACAGCAACAGCACTCAGGAAGAGCTCATTAGAAATGATAGTTTTCAAGGCCACACTCCAGAATCTGGAGCTTGCAAGTCATTTGACCATGTGCTGTATACGTGTGATAAGCCCACATCACTACTGACTTGAGAGTTCACGCTGTGTGGTGTCAAACACACGCATTTCTAGTCTGGGTCCGAGATCTTTGGGGAGTAGGATTCAGATTCTTAAAAATATAACTGATTGATAAAATAACAATGTTGACCACAATTCAGCTACTTCTCTGAGTCTTATGCTGACATTCTGCTTAAGTGCTAGTCAAACATCACTGTTAATAAGGAAGGCTGGCAAAAACCTACCTGCTGTGCACCACGTTCATTGCTGAGCGTTCGTAGTTCATCTGAATGGGCCACACAAATCTCATGCAGTGCTGCTAAATCACGGGACAGGTCGGTTCTAGAATGCTCTGTAGTGTCCGGAAGTTCGGGTACATTCTTTATGGGAATGATAAGATTGCATTTAGAAATACAAGTCATTACAGTCACATTACAGTCACTTCTGAAAAGATCCTAATTGCTTATAATAAACAATTTTTAACATGTTTATTCTCTTACATTTCTCCTAACAGTCTAAGATGCTGTGTAACCTTCAGTACTGATTCTGGGACCTTAATATTCACATCAAAACCAGGCTCCAATGTTCTTAAACAGAATTGGTATTCAGAATAACAAGAATACCAAACAAGAGTTTCGGGGTTTTTTTGATTTGGCACATAGATCACAAAACAGTGTAACTGCTAATCTGGATTAAATGCAAGCAGAACTTGAGCTACGATAGTTTGTCCAGATTTATCAGTTTATATAAATTAGGAGTTACACTGTGGAAGCGTGATGAGAACCTGTCAGGCTGTTATTGTGGCCTGTGTCCAAAACACTTGGTAATGTGTGGAAATGATCAGTGTTGATTATGGCATCTTCAGCTAAGGGTCATTAAATAACTTAGTACTTTATTAGTACTAAACACCAATGTTAGCTTGAGCCTTGGAATAAAATTCAACATGGGCTCAGATTGCTGGAACTTTGGACTAAATCCACTGCATTCCTAAAAACTGTGAAATAGTTTTCTATGGCATGAACAAACAATTGAAATATAGT